GAGATGAGGGGGGAGGCGGCTTAAGAATCTTTGTCAAGGACAGGAAGATGCGCACAGCGAGTATTGGTAGTCGAAAGAGTGGCGACTTTGGAAGTATTCGAAGCCTACGGAGTTTAGAAATGAATCCCAAGGCCGATCAATCTCTCGGAGATGTCCTCTTTGGCACCGGCACTCCTGCCGCTGCAAGCGACCATTCCTCTGACTTGAGCTCTACCGACGAAGCTCCTCAAAGCCCAAGCCCTAGTCCACGGCCACAATCAGCAATGTCAAGACCAAACTCGATAATATCACGCAGAGCACTCCACTCGCATTCAGCAGGGCCATCTTCTGCGGGCATAGTACCCAACATTTCAGCGGCCAATGTCAACCCGCGGCCTGTCTCTTTCCGAAGAGCGACGACCTCTGTCGCACCTGTAGCTTCCAATTCACAGTCATTTGCTCAGCCATCGTCGTCCAGCTCCAAGTCGACCTCACAACCCACTCCAGCCCACTCGATCTTTTCGACCACAAAGCCACCCTCTAGCTATGAACAACGATTAACTGCACAGGATATCCCTCCTTTGGATCCAGATGCTACACCAAAACCGAAACGTCCACCGTCCTCTTCTGCACCTCCCATCTTCGTTCCACCAGCCCCAATCTTCACCAAGAACGCGCCTAATATTCAACCGAAACCGCGCGATTTCGCATTCGGCATAGATGGAAAGGTTACTCCCGCAGGGATGGTATCTAGCACACCAAGACCCGCTATAGCTAATCAACGAGCAAACTTGCCGCGAGTGCCCTCCGAGCCTCGCTCATCGGCAGCGGCTATACAGGACACCCGCCCAACAGAAAGTGACGAGCTGAAGGAAATGAGGGAGAGGCTTAACAGGATGATGCAAGATATTGACAGCGTTAGCGACCAGATTCAGAAGGTGAAGATGCAGTTGAAGTAATGATCGATACCCGTGGACATGCTTTCTTGTATTTCATTTGTAAATACACTTTTTGTTTAGCGCGATAGCTACATAGACATTATGCAATCCGCCACGCTGCTTTTCAGCTTCCAAGATGGAACTACATAGACTTGCAGTATACCTAGAACACAACAAGTTTACAAATTTATCAGCTATTCAGAGGCTCTTTGTGTCAAAGAATGGCATCAATGACTGCCATTGGAAGTAGGTTACTACAAACTTGGACTATTGCCACCTTTCCGTATCGATAGAACTTAAAAACTATGTTAATAACTACAGCGGGTCGCGTTCCAAGTACGATAATGCGTCGAAGTTGATGCTTGTCCGAGGCAGAATGGTGTGGTCAGGTGCAAAGTGGTTTTCGATCTTGCAGCCATTTCCTTCGACGATCACCAATGCGTAACGGTCCTGGTGACCGAGCATGATTTCCTTGGACTCTACTTCTTCTGTACTTACGCTATCACTATTACTTTCCTGCTATTATTGGGGCAGGATGAGCTCTTCATCCAGCAAAGCAACAAAGGCAACCGAACGAAATGGGTTTATCGTGATCAACCGGGTCTCGCATGCACGCTATCTCCCTTCGCCTGCATCTCACGCGTTTATTTATCCCACTTTATCCATCTATGCTGATGTCAACGCGCTCACCAATGGTCAGCTCAGTCTTGGTAACGGTTGGCTTTTCGGAAGTGGGACGCGACCATGGAGTCGAGTGACCAACATCCGTCCATCCGCATACCTATTGGACGATGGGATACAAGGGAAAACATTGATGGAACGCCTTCAAGACTTCTTTCGACTAAGGGGAGTGGAATGTAGCTGGCTAAATGAGGGGAGTGCCTGGC